GGGAACCTCGGCGTCGGTCTGACGCCCGCCGGGTGTGCCAGCTGCCGCGAACTGCATTTCCCTGGAGCCCCCCCTCCCCCCCCTTTTTTTTAACTGTATTTAATTTGACCAGAAAGGAACAGAGCAACAGGGGGGAGGGGCAGTGAGAGAGCAAACCGCCAGGTCCAGGATTCGAACCTCATTGGGCCAGGTGGGAGCCCAGTGCCCTTAACCACTGCCATCTTCCCTCCTGTGTAGCTCTGAGTTCCTGTCTCAGAAGTGCTCACACAACCTAGGGTTGTGTATGTCACCATCAAGACTTGTTTGGTTTGTTTTAAAATTTTCTACAAGGTGTGCTGACTGGAGGGAAAGCGGAAAAGAAAGCACCCGCGGGGGTGGCCTTCCGCGTCTGTTCTTCACTTCTCCCTAGGGATCTTGGGCACACACGGCTGGTGCTTGGTGTGTTTTAAGCTGTGATGTCTAGGACTTGAACCACACAATGGGCCATGTGGGACCCAGCAGCCTTAACCACCATGCCACTGGCTGGCCCAAGGCTGCTTTTTTGTTTGTTTGTTTGTTTTTAATGTTTTACCATCGGGTGTGTGCACTGGCCAAGGAGACAGAGTGGGAAATGCCCCCACACGAGGTGACTGTGCCGTTCCCTCTCCACTCTGCTGTGGGATGTTGGGTGCACACACACACACCTGTCGGGATTTTCAAGCCACCAGGGTCCAGGACTTGCACTGGGTTGGCCACGTGAGATTCTAGCACCTTCACCACACCAAAGCTCGTTTATAATGAACTTTGGAGAGCCACTGCTTACTGGCCACACAGATAACGAGCTCTCCCCTGTGCCCAGAGGTTCTGAGCTTGGGGTGCTCACCGCAGGGCCGTGGGCTGGAGCCCCAAGCTGTGGTTCCCTGCTTGCCCCTAGTTCTTGCAGAGACCCATTCCTGTGAGCCTCTAGTCGGTCCCTGGTTGCCAGGTGCCGGGGTAACTGCTCGCTGGCCCTACCTGCCTGCTGAGTTCTGGAAGAGCAGTAGGTTATGGGGTGCGGCCAAGAATGTGTGGAGAAATGGGAGTTGAAGTATGACTGACTGGCCCCGCTGGGCTGTGCGGTCAGTAGTAACACTGATCTGTAGCACCAGATGTCAGGTGGCCGACTGCACATGCTCACGCTTAGCCGACCAGAAACGGCGGTGCTTGCATGCCCTAGACCTGATAAGCCAGGAGCCTGGGAGGGGTCACAGAGGCAGACCCAGCTAGGGTCCCGTCTCACATTCTCCCACACACTGTCATGGGAAAAATACATGTATGAGGTTATTGGTGCAGAGCCACTTTGAAAAAAATCAAGTGTGGGTTTTTCTGGTCTCTTTTTTTTTGGGGGGGGGGCTTTAGGGCACTTGTGCTTGCTGGAGAGACTGATAGGAAGAAATCACCCCCCAACTCAGAGGGGATGACTATGTCGCAATCCTTTCTCCATTCTCCTCTTGGAATTTTGGGCACATACCTACACATGCCTGGTACGAGTTTTAATCCATCAGGTCTGGGACTGGAACTGGTTGGCTACGAGTGAGTCCAGTGACATAACCACTATGCCATCTGCTGGTCCCAAGCATTGTTTTTTGTTTGTTTTTGGAGAGGTTTTTGCTATAGGGCGCGCGCTCACCAGACACAGACGAAAAGCGCAGAAAGCGAAAAACACCTCCCAGAGGGGATGGCTACACCGCAATCCCTTTTCCTCCATTCTCTCAGGATCTTGGGCACCCACCCACCCGCGCCTGGCGTGAGTTTGAAGCCACAGTGTCCAGGATGCGAACCGTGGTCGACTACATGGGAGTCCAGCAACATAGCCATTACACCAACTGCTGGTTCCTGTTTGTTTTTTAAAGAATTACTTGGTACCAGCAGTTGATGTAATGGCTATGTCACTGGACTCCCATGTAGTCGACCGCGGCTCAACTCCCAGACCCCGCAACTTAAACTCAGTGGGTGCGTGTGTGTGCACGCCGAAGATCCTGAGAGGGGAATGGAGGAGTAGGGATTGCGCTTGGCTATACCCCCGAGGGGTGAATTCTCTCTTTTTGTCTCTCTTTCTGGTGAGGACACACACCCTATAGCAAAAACCACTCAAAACAATAATTTATTCACCTGTAATTTGACCAGAAGGGGGCAGAGCCAGGGAGGGGGGGAGGTGGGGAGTGAGAGAGCAAGCCACCAGGTCCAGGACTCAGTCAGCCATGTGGGAGTCCAGGGCCCCTAACTGCCTTGCCACCTGCAGGTCCCCCAAACGTGGTGTTTATAACACAGGCTCTGAGAACACAGACTCCCTGTGGTGATCCCCAAGGAGCTGCTTCCGATCTGCTTCCTTGGCAAGCTCGTGGGTGATTTCCAGAGGCTGATGTAGCGTGCCCCTTTCAGGCAGAAGTGGATTTTGATTTGTGTTGCTTTTTAGTTTGCTGTAGGAGCATGCGCTAGCTGGAGAGAGACGGGAAGAGGAGCTGGGAAAGGGTAGGTGGCCATACTCTAGTCCCTTCTCCGTTCTTGGGGTACGAGCTCGCACACACGCATGTGCATCTGGGATGATTTCCAAGCCCGGAGCCAGGGCAAACCAGGTAGGCAGCCAAGTGGGACCCACCTCTGTACCAGCCACCTGCTGGCTCAGGCAGTTCTAGCTTTCTAGCGTGGCCATGCCTCACGCCTCCTGCCCCTGCACTGGGAACAGCAAGTGGTTTCAGGGCTGAGGCCTCAGCCGGGTCCTACCCAGCATGTGACCACGGCCACCAGGCAGCACCGGCAAGCCATGGTGGCTTCAGGGCCCTGAGTCCCCAGAGCCTGGTCACAGTAAACATGGCGAAAGTAAGTATGAAGTTGGGCACTTCATCGTGTGCTCGGGCAGCCAGGAGCGGAAGGAAGACCCTTCGTGTGACCCAGGCTCTCATCCTAAAGTGTCCGGCTTCACACCCTTGAAAGGATGAAGGCTGGCAGTGAGGAAGAGAGCTGTGGGCAGCTCTGCAACTGGGTAGCTACATCCCGCCCACTATGTAAACCCCAAAGCAATGGTGTTGTAATTTTTGCCATAAATAGTCATATATAAAAGACTATTTTATATAGTCTTCATTCCTTTTTTTTTTTTTGGAGAGGTTTTTGCTATAGGGCACGTGCGCTTGCCAGACAGAGACAGAGACAGACAGAGAGATAGAAAGCGAGAAATCACCCCCAGGGGGGATGGCCACGCCGCAATCCCTTCTCCTCCATTCTCCTCTCGGGATCTTGGGCACGTGCACACACATCAGTTTAAGCCACCAGGTCCAGGACTCGAACTGCAGTCAACTACGTGGGAGTCCAGCGACATAGCCATTACGCTAACTGCTGGTCCCTCATTCCTTCTTGAAAATCTGTTTTCATGTTATTGCCAACCTTCAATCTAAATCACTTTTTTGAGCATTTTAAAAAATTTATTTAAAAAATATTTTATATACATTCATTCACATTATTTAGCTTATAAAGTGAACATTTTAATATGTGAATATTTCTCCCCAGTCTAGGGCCTGGGGCACTCGTGCCGGAGGGTGGGACGAGGCCGGGCACCCATGCCGGAGTGTGGGTAGGGCAGGGAGCGTTCACTGTGCACTGTACCCTCTGCAGGTGCAGCCCCTGGAGAGGCAGTGGATGTTGTGGGGGCCCTGTGCGGGGCCTGGATGCCCTCTGGACCGCAGGAATTGCTCCAGCAGGCACGAGGGGGTGAAGCTTGTCACCAAGGCAGAAGCTCCTCTTGCTGCCCTTCCCTCAGGCACCTCCCTTACCTGGGCACCGTTAGCTGAGTACCAGAGCCAGCCAGCTAGGCTCAGACCCTCGGGTATTCTATTATCTCACACCACCAAGGTCGAGGGCACAGTGGGGTCCACGTTTCACATTCTGGCTGTCCTCAGCCCCTCATCCTGCCCGCCCCACCCTCTGACCCGGCACAGGCACGGGGGAGCTTTGTGGCTGCACCCCAGCAGGTCTCAGGCTGGCTCTGCAGCTGCCCTGGAGCACTGCGAGCGAGCAGGGTGTCCACATGACACCGAGATCCCAGGGGTCTGTGTAATGGGCAATGTGTGAGGGACTGGCCACAGAGGCTGACTGCGGGGCAGGCACATGGACTTCCTTGGGCTCAGGCTGCTTCTGTGTGTGCGAGAGTCCCACCAAGTGGAGTGAAGGGCATCAATGCTGGCCCACATGGGAAGGCCCCGTCTGTGTGCAGAGGCCTTGCCAG